GAGGGCCGTTCTGCTCTATGATAGTGAGACTTGGCCTCTTCGGTCTGAAGATCTGAGGCGTCTTCAGGTCTTTGATCATCGTTGTCTGCGAAACGTTGCTGGAGTCGGATGGCACCAGCGTGTCCGCAACGATGCTGTGCGTAGGCGAGTGCTAGGCAGTGATAATCATGCTAGTTCCCTAGAACAACAGATAGCACTGAGTAAGTTGCGTTGGTTCGGGCACTTGCTGCGTATGCCTGGTCACCGCTTACCTAGGAGGGCCTTGTTTAGTCTGCCAGGCGTAGGGTGGCGCAAGGATCGAGGTGGATAGAAGTTGACTTGGCTGCGGGAAATGAAGTCACTGACGACCAAACTGGGTGCCGTATCGCCTTCCGGGAAGGAGTCCACTTGTTTTGCCTAGTATTTGGCTCGAGACTTTACAGGACATGGCCGCAGTATACACCAGTGGCGCGTCTGCTCCCGTCTAATCGGATTGCCTGTCTAAAGTGTGTTTGGTGCTGAGTTATCTGCGGGGTAATGGCTGATTATGACGCATGGCATTTAAAGCCGCAAGGAAGCTGTCTCGCCGATACCGTGTTATCTTTGCACGATAGCCAGCTGTTGTCTACACAAGGTGTAGGCGCTTTGATTCTGAATGTTTGCTTAGGGCATTACGGTTTTCAGGTAAGTCCCCCTTCTCTCCTTCTTCTTATTCTTTATTTCATAGGTCCTCATGGATGTATGGCAGAGAAGCATCAGTTCAAATGGCTGATGTACTGCTGTTGATGATGATGATGAGTGCGATCAGACGGGGAAAGGAGTAGTTCAGCGCGCACTACATATACCCAGTTGTCTCATCGATGAAGGGCTTGTTTTATAAACGGGATGTGCGGTGGCCTAAAACCCTAGGGAGAATCCGTTAGCTGGATCTTGCCAAGTGAGTTTCTTCGGTCGTCATGTGTTTGGGTTGCTACCATTGCCTCTTCGATGGCTTTGTGCCTTATCTGCAGACGACCTAAAGATTGGTAGTACTTGATGCACCCTACAATTGCGACGTACTTCAGCGCGACCTCCAAGGCCCATACATGTGGCCCGCAGTGATAAATCAGCCGGTCAACCCAATAAACTCGTCATATACGAGCCTATATAACATTGGCGACGCCCGTATTTACGCTGCACCGCCAACTGCTACACCTCATATTTTCCTTACAGAATCTCAATGTACTCTCACGCTGCGAGTTGTAATGTGTATTTAACATGAACAAGCTACATGGCAACTAACTGCTTATGTTTTAAGCGTCCAAACGCAGCTTTGGCATTCGGGCTGATGAGATTGCCACTGGCATGCTCTCTGCTTGCGTGCAACCAGTGTACGAGTAAGGCTCAGTTGCCTAATTTCCGGTCAGCCATGACAAGGTGCAAAAATGGGACTTGCTCAGTATGTGACTACCGGGCTCATTTGCAATCACAGTTGGACAGGTAACCAATGTCACAACATTTCAACGTGGACAATCAAAGCAAGTAAAACCACATGAGCAGTTGGGCTAACCGTAAGCCGCCCAATCACAGTGAAGTAAATGTGAACAATGACATTGACACATATACACAGCGATAAGGGACAAGGCGCATCCGGCAATGTTAAAATCCACAAAGACCAAATTAGTTCAACTATGGCTAACGTTCTAGGGAATGCAGACGTAAAAGAAGGATGAACCACGGCGACATGATTACGTACGTATGTAGCGACTAATAATGTAAGCACGTGCGGTTGGGGAAGAGGGAATAACCACGGGATATCTGGCGACACGAACAGCGTGGAGCAGAACGAAATTTAGGACTTTTCCAAACAACGACAAACTCCGCTACACAAACCTGGCGGATTAGGGAAGTATATTGCGCACTAAACAGCAATAGATTATTGCAGAGCCGAAATGCACTGATAATTGGCAGTAATAAACAGCGTCGTATTATTTTCATCTCAATGATATATATATAGCTTGTCAAAACAGCTGCAGTTGAGATGCTTTGAAACACTTGTAGCCCTCATTATTTGCTCACCTTTACATCGGTTCCCTGTGTTTGATAAAATAGTCGCATAGGTTTTGCCATCATGTGGGCTGACATCTTCATTGCCGTGATGTCCATGTACTTTCACGGCTTAACTTCGTCTTTCTGTTCGCTGAAGCGAGATAAAGCAACCATGGCGTCGATGTGAACAGCTACGCGGAAAAACAAGTAGCCAGAGGCGTAGTATAAAGGGGCGATCCGCTTTGGGCAGGAAGTTAATGGGAGCGGCAATTTTAGTACCGTCGACTGTTCTATACCCAATCTAATGGGCAAAATATCCAGATAAGCTGAGGGTTGAACAATTGTGTCTTACTCTCTATGACCAACCAGCTGTTTGCTCTAAGTGTCACACATGTGCAAACGTTCTTTCCAGCAATCCCCTCACTAGTCCCATTATGGTCACTTTCGTCACATTTGTCCCATTGTCCCAAACCATGATCCATTAGACGGAAAGCGAATGAGTAGTTTACCGAAAGACGATTGTGTGTCCTTCAAGTGCGTATTCTGCTATCAATCAAGGGGCAAATTTACAACCGCTCCGGGCGGCTACTATGCCACCTCAAGTAACCCACTTTTGCGGCATGTCTTACGAAGAATCCCTTTAGAATATATTATTCGATGGGGACACTTTGAGAAGATTGGAAACACTGAGGATTAGATTCCACGCAATCTAGTTTGCCATGTGGATTTACATGGAACCGATTGATGTAAAAGTCAAGATTCATTTTGCTACTAGAAAAGCGACCGCAACAGGTAAAATGACAGACTGATTTGCCAAACTAAAAGGCGTGACATGCTCACAGTTGAATTTGTATTATTATTTATGTTAGCGTTAACAACAGCTAGGCATTAACCAACATCACAATAATGGGTTTTCGTAAGGGTGCAATTGACTACGTTGCAAGCAATAATCTCATCTTCATTATAGAGTATTCATTGCGCTCTCAATTTCTCCCGAAACGTTAAAGTGTATGTTAGCATATTTAGGGTAATCGATATTAAGCGATTTTCACCGAAGTGGCAGCTTCGCGCACGCTTAGTTGTATAGTGATCCAACAGACTAAATTTTTATCGAGTATACATTTTATACTGCATGTAGTACATTAATGTTCATATGTTCACTCCATTCTACACAAATTAGGATAACCTATGTGGAATAGAAAGCACTTTTTTGAGTCAAAACCATTACTCGCACTAGCAGAATACTGTTGGCAATTGTGGAATTTGTTGATTAATGAGCCACCGGTGCCGGCTCAAACTGTGTCTGTTCAAACCCCGGCTACCTGATTTACCTACACACTAAATTTAGAAATTAAATGGACGTACCAGTCTATAGGAGGTTAGAACTGGGAAAGTTTGCTGTATTAAATAATATTTCCCATTACGAATCAGAAAGATTTCATCATCTGGGGTATATGGACTCCATGTTTTGGTGTCAAGCATAACAATTGAATCGTTCGGACATTTATACCACCCTATAATTTCCACTCTGGAATTCCGTATAAATTGACCTAGAATGTATAGCAGAAATTCACGTATTGTCTTTATTATTACCTTTACAAAACCTGCGTGAGACCATGGGTCAAACAAATTCGGACGACGGAATTCAAATTTTAATAAGTAGCATTAATAATTCATTTCGTTAAATGCTAGGAATAGCCGACCTGTCCCCCTGATTTAATTCGTACTAAATAAGCAGCTTCTGCAAAATATTGATACCGCTATGCCGGTTCACGTACTGTTCGAGCAGGGAAGTTATCACTAGCGCAGTTTTTGAGCATAATCAACCGCATTTCATTCACCTTATGTTACACTCTGTACTTGTGGTAGTAAAAGGCTTATCATCTTTCTGTTTGAAGTTTAGCATTTAATCAAAAATTGTTTTGCGCGTTCTAGCTGCGCAAGTTTACTCACGCTGGATTATTCGGACACAAGTTTAGCAAATTGTCCTTTGTAGATAACACCATTTTTCCTTATATAGCTATCCGTAGCAAAACGTAGTACATTTGTTGCAACTGGGGAAAACACATGTTGCATTTGGTGGGAAACAAAAGTGGCCGCTGCATTATTTAGGAAAAGTAAATAATTATATTGCCAAATGTCTGATTACAAAACCCAAAATTTGCTAGTGTCTCGAAAACAGGTGCTATGTGTTTTTACCAAGTCTTCTTTTAAATAGAGTTCTTCTTATCACCAACTAGTTAAAATTAGTTACAACAAGCGATATCCTTATTCATATGGCCATTGGATTTTCGAGGAACAATTAAACAATGATAAGGCGCATTCCACCTAATTTCCGTCCAGAACGGCAGAGAATTACACACAATGTTTACGGAATGTGAACGTATTGCTGGCTTTGTTTCTGACCAAAATTTTATATATCATATTAATATAAGCTATATGTTTCAGTTGCTGTCACTCTGTCTAGTTAGTCGTTACTCTTGTACGTTCATATGCATGTGCGCCTAGTTTTGACGAAATTTTCAGGAGAATGGTAATTAAACCAAATCCCTCTAATTAATTATACGATAAATGTTGGGTTAGTGACAGCATGGTGCATGTCATGATTTTAGTTTTATTAATACTGCTAGAAGCAAACTAATGCATGCGCTTACCAAAAGTGAAACGTCATTCTGCGGAGAATATTGTCAGCGGTGTCAGGAGCAAAAGCAGGAATAGTTCTATTTTATGTCCGTTTGACATTTTCATGCTGGCGACTTTACTCGATGTCTCAACACATCGGAGACGGGGCTCTAAATAACATCGGGTGACTCTGAACATTTACTAGGCACAAACAGTGAAATGATTCGTCCACTATTGAGTATACGTAGTTTACTGTTAAGTGGCTCTTGCTATTGCACCCAATTGTGTGTAACCAAATAACGAGCGTTTTTATTAGCCACACACAAATTACTTGCGCATAGTTGACAAGCATCTTGACTACATATTCACTAATGTCAGGGGGGGGGGGGGGGGGGGGGGGGGGGGGGGGGGGGGGGGGTGGGGGGGGGGGGGGGGGGGGGGGTGGGGGGGGGGGGGGGGGGGGGGGGGGGGGGGGGGGGGGGGGGGGGGGGGGGGGGGTGGGGGGGGGGGGGGGGGGGGGGGGGGGGGGGGGGGGGGGGGGGGGGGGGGTGGGGGGGGGGGGGGGGGGGGGGGGTGGGGGGGGGGGGGGGGGGGGGGGGGGGGGGGGGGGGGGGTGGGGGGGGGGGGGGGGGGGGGGGGGTGGGGGGGGGGGGGGGGGGGGGGGGGGGGGGGGGGGGGGGGGGGGGGGGGGGGGGGGGGGGGGGGGGGGGGGGGGGGGGGGGGGGGGGGGGGGGGGGGGGTGGGGGGGGGGGGGGGGGGGGGGGGGGGGGGGGGGGGGGGGGGGGGGGGGGGGGGGGGGGGGGAGGGGTGGGGGGGGGGGGGGGGGGGGGGGGGGGGGGGGGGGGGGGGGGGGGGGGGGGGGGGGGGGGGGGGGGGGGGGGGGGGGGGGGGGGGGGGGGGGGGGGGGGGGGGGGGGGGGGGGGGGGGGGGTGGGGGGGGGGGGGGGGGGGGGGGGGGGGGTGGGGGGGGGGGGGGGGGGGGGGGGGGGGGGGGGGTGGGGGGGTGGGGGGGGGGGGGGGTGGGGGGGGGGGGGGGTGGGGGGGGGGGGGGGGGGGTGGGGGGGGTGGGGGGGGGGGGGGGGGGGGGGGGGGGGGGGGGGGGGGGGGGGGGGGGGGCGGGAGGGGGGGGGGGTTGGGTAATGGAAGGGGTAATATGAAGAGCGGGGGGGGGGGGAATGGGCGGGGGGGTCGGGGTTGGAGTGTGAGTGGGGGGGGGGGGCTGGTGGGCGAGGCGGCGGGGGAAGAGAAGGGGAAGAAAGGAGGGTGGTGAATGGGGGATGTGTGGGGGGAAGGGGGGGGGAAGGAATGGTATTTAGATGTGATTGTAAGTGAAAAAAAATAAGGCCTAAGATTCTGTAAACACTCGATTGAACGCCATAGCACGCTTTTTAAAAGAAAATCAACTGGCGGACCCCAGGATTGTTCACTCATTGTTCCCACCGGACCTGAGCAACACACCGCAAGCACGGATGGTTAAATACAGTCAAATGTTTCTGGTCTCCTTTGCGAACTGGCCAATTCATTGACCCATCCGTTGAGACTGCCGTACCGTAACGTTAGACACCCTTCCTTTCACTGACAGGCTGAAGTCCCGCCTTCTCAATAGATGGGTGACTTTCCTGAAAGCCACACGTGTCTTGCTGTAACACGAAGTAAATTCCTCGGTGATGTGACCACCATATATGAGACAGCTACCAAGTTAAGTGAACCGATCCACCGCTTCCATTGACTGTTCAGAAATCGCTTAAACCGGCGGTGTGCAGGCCCAGTCTTGTAGCAGTACTTTACAATTTGAAGGTGCGAAGCACATGCCGATGCGTGCAGCGCCACCCATCGGTCTCTCCAGTAGTGTTTGCATTATCAAATCATCCCAACTAAGGAAACTATGTCGTCCATATATGCAAGGTTTGTCAGTCCGTGACCTGGCAAACTATCAACTCCGGTTGCGATGAAAATCATTGAGTCAGTGTGCTCATTTATATCACAAACTACATGAGGAAAGACGACATCAGACAACAATAACTGACTAACCTTTTCATAGAGAACTCAGTATACATTTTACCGTAGACCCGCATACGGCCTCGTTTAACACGGTAGAAAGCATTCAGAATGGAAAGCGACTTAGCTGACACGCCTTTTATGGATAGACAGTGCCACAATCTGGTATGGTCACAAAGTCGAAGGGGCTTTGAAATACAAAAAACAAACATAGTCCTTCAGCTGTAAATGTGTCCCTACTCAGACGTTTTGCGAAGGATGAATATATGATGGACTCAACTAAGACCAAGGCCGGAGACAAACTGGCGTCCAGTGATTCGGTCCTCACGCGGATTGGTGAGTCGTCAAATTATGATCTCCTTGAGAAGTTTTGAGACAAATGAATTAAGGCTGATACCTCGATGTTTTCGTGTAAGGTACGCTGTTTACTAATGGACATGAGAATTATAGTTGACAGTCGCCAGTCTGTATGCTGCTCCTTATTATCCCAAATGGTGTTAAACAGAGAAGGCAATCCATTCGACAACTTAGAATCATAGTTCAATACGGATGGACGATTGTTGTCTGGTTGGGGAACTTTGTTTCGTTTTACCACGGAAACATCATGTCAAATTTTTCTAAATGTGTGGTGTGAAATCGTCTTCCAATTTCGGCTTACATGATGCGCAAGCAACATTATTTTAGCAGGCCCGCTGGACTGCACCAATATATGTTCCACCGGACAGGTTAGTCGGCGAAGCTATGAATGGACCAGGTGTCCATCGTTCTCAGTCCCTGTCTCGCTAAGTGATATCATTGTCGGATCTGTGTTCCGGATGAGCTGGAATAGCACTCTTCTGTTCCATCGGCACTGCCTCAGTTCATCTCAAGTGTCCTTGCCTCCCAGCAACGTTCCCGGTCAACTCCAAGCTAACTTGTCAGCTGTCGGGTTCAGTAAGTTACGGGACGCGGTAAAACTCGCTGTCTTTGGAACCTGTTTCCCTGCTTTGATCAAGCTGCTCGAGGCCTTAGAGATTCCTTCACAGTCATGACATCTCTAGTTGAGTGCCCCTCAAGCGTCGAACGCATGGCACACTTGAGACGAGCCCAGTCAGTGTTTGGCTCACCACCGCATTTCTCACTGATAATTGATGGGCAGTTCATCATGATATTGCTGGGACGGCAGATTTTTGAGTTCAAGTTGCGGGTATCGAATGTTCGAACATGGCTGCTTCGTAAACCGTGGTTGAGTGCGAAGATTGCGAGCACTAGATCATGGGTCGAAATCCAGACACGTGCTCCAAATTGACCAAGCAGTGTTAGACTGATGCCTAACATCTGTAGCTGATAACACTAATTCAATTTGAGCCCAGATCACTGAGGAATTCGATGGGCGCCAGGTGACGCGGTTTGAAAAGTTTGTGGTGGAAAGCAGTGCTTTAACGGCAAAAGTTGTGGCCGGCGCACACTTGCAGGAATCGACCACCGATAGTTGTTTGGCATGCATTGACTCCGAAGCAGCTACCCAGGGGTTGTTCAGATTTTTAAAGATGATCCACTTGGACATTCGTTTCATCAATAACAATTACGAAGTCAATCTTTCGACATCCTACAAAAAGATGAGAAGTGTCTCAGTAGAAATCTTTTGTGATGGTCTTTAAACTGCATTCATTAGGGGCATAAACTGAGACGAGGAGAAGGCACTTTTGTTTTCAGACGCAGCTTAATGTCTACAATAGCTGTTCGAAATCGAAATGCAGACCTGCGGATTTACACTCATATCCAGTCGAACAAATTGTCTTCAGCATGTTTGATGAGGACATTACCAACACTTTAAATACCTTGAGCCATTGACTCATTATCACAAGAGAATTGATGACTGTAGCCTTTCTTCGTCAGTCAGAATCATGGGGTCGATGATGTGTCTCAATGCGTGTTTCGGAGACACAGCACACATCAATACCAAGTGATTGGATTGAAAATCGGCGCCGCCTGCCGGCCGATCTGACTTACAGTGTGGACGCTAAAAGAGCCAATGTGAATTGAAACCCTCGGTTTCATGTTTGACAGCAGCAGTGGCAAGGCCAGCTGCAGTCTCCTGCTCAATAGATGGGGATGAAAAGATGAGCGATGAAGGAGTATTTTCGACGCAGTCTAGAAGTCAGGTGGTAAAGTCTGACAGTCCATTTTACTATCTGACCCATGAAACAGTGGGGTATATAAATGTTCGATTGAATCGAAACCCGGCGCCGTTGGCTTAATAGCCTGACGAACAAGGCAGTGTGCAGCATGCCCAGCTTGAGGTATGATTTCAGAGACATATGGAGAACGGTTTGAAGCATGTCAGACACATCGTCTGAGGATTTTTATCAATGTATGTGTATTTTTCAGTTATATTATATTACGCACCTGTGAGTGTGGTCAGCCACAGTTGGGAGTTGGCGGGTTTACATCAAGTTGACCAGCTGCTGCCTGGCTTGAGGCGTATGGTAGCAAAATATTGAGCTGTATGTGGTGTTCTTCCATCGTCAAAGATAATGTGCGCGCTTGCGCTCCATGCTATTTAAAGTGGTAAGCTAATAACCGCAGACCCGTCGTCTTCTAAGGGTAGCTTTTGAAGGAAGGTGGGCCAGTGATCTCTTCCTAACTTCCGAAAGGATTACATTTGGGACTGCATGGTCTGATCCCTGATTAATGACCTGCCTGTATGAGTGGGTTCTGAATGTCACTTGGAAAATTGCCAGACGTGTAACTCTATATGTCACCATGGTACTCAAACCATCGCACCACCAAGCCGAGGTTTATTCTCGTTGCGGTGGTAAAATCCGCTTCATGTTTTGGATTATGCTAATGAAATATATCTGAAGTAAATGTCATCGTATATTTAAGAAAATTAAGCTTTATTTATTAAACCAATTTTTGGTTAGCCACCAGTTGCCGGAATATACTTTTCGTATGTCTCCAATTCACACTCGACCACCGCTGTGTTACGCTCTGAATTATCTTTGTAACCAGGATTTTTTTCATCTTTAACTATACTAATGATCCGCGTGGGCGGCACAAACTCCACATTGAACAAACGGCCATTCATTGTAATCCTCATCGTTTTAACTCCAGGATGCATGATCGGTAGCTTACACTTTTGTAAATTTATGTCCCGTGAACCTAATGATATTATCGAGTTTGTTTCTTTTGGTATGACCAAATAAAACACTAAATCTCAAAATCCGTTAGCTCAAGGTTCAAGGAAGTCTCTGCAATCATGTTGACGTCCGACGTTTGTGCGGTGTGGCGTTGTACAATAGCTAAATATGTTTGACCCACATTCTATGAAAGCCTTGGGCTTCAGGGCACAAACATTGTAGTTATTTTTGATATTAGGAAAGCGTCGATAGAAGTCAAAATTGTGTTTTGCTAAAGCCGACGGTTAGGTGACCAGCCTCCTAGTAATCATTAATTTTTCTTCACTCAATGAAGTTCAGTCAGGCTTTTGGTTTTACAGTATTCCAGATCGGAATATTCGCTTGTGTTTCTCCCTTTTCTGGTTTGTTTTGCGATTACTTTGGTATCCATCTCTATGCAGGACTCTGGAGACAAATGATCTACTGAAATTGTTGGTTCCATCAAATTGCCAACTACTCTTGACCTTG